GTTTAGTAACGATTTTAATTTAGAGTCGGGTTTTTGTGAGAATTTGACATCGACAGGAATATTGTGTTTACTGTCTAGTTTAGTCCAAGTGTGTATATGATTATGTTAGTAAACTGTGTACAATTTTTATGTTAAACATACTGTTGTTTTAATAGTTTCACTCTGACTTTAATTACTGATTATAACCTATAATAAAATACTGTTATTTTTATTTCTATTAACTTTTCTAGTGGTTTTTGACCTCATGAGCTACAAAGCTTAATATTGCAAAAATAAAAAGAAAGGATAGTCATAAGTTTAATTTGCTTACTGATGAAATTAATTTTTTGTCATCTACAATATATAAGGGCCATTAACTGTATTGGTTCCTCTATAACACAGTTTCTGTAAATGCAATTTATTCCTTTTATTTTAGGGTGCAGTTGAAAACTTTCTTCTTGTTTTAGCTCTTTGCAATACAGTCCAAACCTTTAAGAATGGTACACTCTCTGATGTTGACAACTGCTATGATGATTTTGACTTGGAATATTATGCATCCTCACCAGATGAAAAGGCTTTAGTGGAGGCTTGCAGAAGGCAGGACTTTTACTAGAATTTTTTTTAAACTTTTTGCAGCTGAATTTATTATCATTCAAATAATTTGCAAATAAGAAAAAAAACAACTTCACAGCTAAAATTTATTATTTGAAAAATTTTATTTATTTCATATTTTGCATAAAAAATTCCAAAACGGTACTACCTCCTCCTACCCAAAGGTATCTCGATTTTGATTTGCCTGCTGAGCATTGCTAAAATTTTCAACAGTGCACCAGTCATTTTTGTGCCATTGCAGCAATGTGTGCTGATCATGTGATTACCCTCCACCAATCATACTGTGCCCTTTATACTGGCGCAGGTAGCACCCTCTATCATTACAGCACAATCCTCACTTTATTGATTGGCATTCTAGTGTATAGACGAATGTTTTAACTCATTCTCCATGTGACTACAAAATTTTGGTTGTGCTTGATCACAAATTTATATTGGTTTTAACTTCAAGTTTTGCCTTCTTGTGTTTGATTTCCATTGTTTCTACTCATTTGTTTTTGAAATGTGTCTGCTTTTCTAATTATACTTTGTTCATATGAAATCGAGATTTAATAGAGCAGATGATAAAATTCCTGGCATAAGTAGACAATGGTTCTAACACAATTCCCTAGATTTCAGGGTTGATGATGTCTACTGGGGAAGCACAGGTTTTAGTTCACAGAAAATTCGTGTATTACATTCGGCCGGCGATTTTTTCCTTTCAAGTTATGATTTTTGTGCAGACGGATAGAAGTACTAATGCTTGGAGATGGCTTGAATGGGTAATGAAGAAAACTTTAATATAAGTTTTTCATTATGTATTTCTCACTCCCTGTAGGTATACTTATGTTCTATGAGTTTATGTGAGCTAGTGTGGATGTATCTAATTTTCACACTCCATAATTTAGGTCATTCATGTCTCTCTGCTCAGTGTTAGATAAGTTAGATTTTTATACTTTTTTACTATCTGAGTCACTTAAGTTTAAACTTGCATTTAGAGTTTGTTTATTCAGTTATTTTTTGTTTAAATTCTTATTTCTTTTCACTGCTAATATTATTTAGTTTGTAAATTCTTTTTACTTTACTGCTACTAGTCACATCTAATTGTGGATTGGTTTTGAGTCCAACTTTGTTATTGTTAACTGGATGCCTTTTTATTCTCATGTTCTTCAGGGTAGGTTTTATTTTCGTGTCTATTGTCTTATAAATTCTTTGAGTGGTCTTTTAAATTTGATATTCCAAGGTCCTGCTGTCTTATAAATTCTTTGAGTGGTCTTATAAATTTGATATTTCAAGGTATTTTCTCTTCTCTGTACTTTCGGTGTTATTTATTGTTTTATGTTTTAGGTCAAATTTCATAGTTTTGCAGGTTTGTTATTTTTATGTACTTTGTAGACTTTACATGCTACTAAGTTTTTTAGTTTGTTAGTAATGAATACTCTATCTAAGTTCTTTCATTTATGTGCCTTTTTTGGCCACACTTCATGACAGTTCCTTGGTTTATATGGGTTCTATTGTTGGGTTTCTGCCTTCCTTTCACTCCCCTTCTATCCACTTCCCAAATCTCCTTCTCTCCTCCTCAGGATCGTACCTTGTCCAGTCATCTTGCTGAATCTGTTCAAGTCCTTCTAGACAAAGAAGCTATTGAATGGGAGGTGCCCACTCAACCAGAGTTTTACTCCTGTCTTTGTTCTGTCTCCAAAAACACGGGAGTTTGGAGTTTCAGTGTTGATCTATCCTGGTTGTATCCTTATCTGGAGATGCCTTGCTTCACCATGGAGCCATACCTCTGATTTTGGTGAGTTTTTTGCCCCAGTGTCATGTCTTTTTTCTTTGGTTTATCTATGAGAGTTCTGTCTTTTGTCAGCTCCGTATGTGTTTGGTTGAGTGGCACACTCTTTTGCACGTCATCTTCACTTGCTGGGTCTTCAGACTCACCATTTCATGGATGACTAGCTTCTGCTTACTTCTTTCTGTACCCAGTCAGTCACTCACACCCACTTCCTTCTTCGAGAAGCTGTTCCATTGGGGTTTTTCATCAAGTTCGAGAGGTCCTTTACTTATTCCTATTCATTTGGGAGTTCTCTTCACTTCCCGTCTGGGTCAAGCATAGCCTTCTCCACTTCTCCATTTCTCTATGCACACGAGGTTCTATCTTTGTTGGGGATGTGGGCTTCCTTGGAAGCTCTCATTTTCTTGTGTTGGGCACACATGCATTCTCTTGATTGGAAGCTTCTTGACTAATGGAACTTCCTCCATGATCCGTTTGACCATCCCATCTTTTTTCCACCTAAGATCAGGGCCAACCTTGCTTGTATGCTTGACAGGGACTTGACCGAGATGGGAGTTCCCATTCCTCGTCTTAAATCTCATTTGTTCACAGATGCTTCCTTGGTGGGTTGGGGAGTTTTTTCAGTTTCCCAGATATTTTGGGTTGGTATTCAGTCGAGGAGGCTACTCTCCATATTCACATCCTGGAACCTTTGGCAGTTCATCAGGCTCAGTGTCATTCCTGCAGGGGAGGGTGGTTATTGTTCATTCTGAAAATTCCATTGTCGTCAGCTTTATCACCAAGCAATGGGGAACCAATTCTAGATCTTTTTTTTTTCAGATTCTGGATTTCCTGTACTAGGCCAGTGACCATAACATTACGGTTCTGGTAGGTCATATTCCTGGAGTTATGAATATAGTGGCTGATCTCTTATCACATTCTAACCAGGTTTTCCTCAGAATGGTCTCTTCATCCTCAGGTATTTTTGTGGATGTGTTCTCAACAGGGAACACACCATAAATGTATATTTTTCTTACTCACTGGTATGCCAAACTTCTTTCCTTTTTCGACCCCAGTACCTCACCTCTCATCTCTGTGGGTGGATGCTTTAAGTCAAGATTAGAGGTGTCTTCTCTTCTCGGTCTTTTCTGTTATCCAACCACTCCTTGTTATGTTCTGCTGGTTGCTCCATATTGGCAGACTCAGACATGGTTCCCTCTGCTCAGGCCCTTACTGAAGCAACATACTCTGCCTTTTTCTCTGTCCTGATCACTCCTCCAACAACTATGTTCTGATGTTTTTCATTCCAATAACATCACGCTCCATCTTTCCGTGGGACTTTTGTCTGGTCCTGTGCCTCAGCTCAGACATGCCCCTCATGTAGCATCTTTTCTTGCCTGTACCATTTGCCCTTCCTCCTTGTTTATGTACCAGAGGCATTGGTCTTGCTTTGGACTTTGGTCTATTTGCCATGGCTTCTGTTCTTCTGTTCCTCATCTGTCCCAGATCTTCAACTGGTTGTTTGATCAGGGTTTGTCTGTTTCACTTGTTGCACTTTATACGTCTGCCTTGTCAAACATTTTCTATTCTCCCATTTCCAGAAACCCTTCTTTTCCCCAGGTATTTCCTTCCTTTTCCATTCCTTTTATCTGGTCCATCTGCCATGTTCCATTGTTTTGCTGGATTGGGCACTCAATGTTGTTCTTCATGCCCTGTCCTGTTCTCCCTTTGAACCCATCGCAATTTGTTTCTTGTACCATTTTGATCTTAAGACCTAATACTTCCCTTCCTAGCATTCAGTCATTGTCCTTCTGGTATTCATGCCATCCTTTACCATTTGCCCCCTAGTGGCGCAATTGTATGTCTGAGGACTTACAATGCTAGAATCTGGGTTTTGATACCCATGGTAGGCAGAGCACAGATAGCTCATTGTGTTGCTTTATGCTTAACTTCAAACAAACAAACCTTTACCATTCCTCGTATGTTATCCACTATTGGCATCAGGGCTTTTTTTGCAGGACCTCAGCTGCGTGGGAAGGTTGTTTTGCCTTTTCTCCTATTTCCTTACCTTCCTTTTCCCACCTGTATTCCCATTCAGAATGGAATCATCTCCTTTGTCTAATTTGTTTCCTGTGATGTTACTTGGCTCATACTGTCTCATTTCTTGGTTCTCATTCCTGTGTAATTGTTCCATGGCAGTCCTCTGTTTCCCATGATGTTTCACCTATTACACTCACTGGTTTGGAACCTCAACTCATATGACTGGCATATTTTGATGTGTCCATAGCAGGTCATCATCTACCTAATGTGTTTTCAAACCAAATTTGTCATCAAACTAAGTCTTTAGTTGCTTGAAACCATCGTCTTTTGGAGGAGATCTTTAAGGCAGGTATGTGAACAACTCCCAATACATATGTCACTCTTTCTCTGCACCATATAGTTATGTTTTCCTCGGGCTGGTATCATTTTTCCACTGTGGCAATTCTAAACACATCTGTTTGCCTTTGACTGGGGTATCGACATATTATTTTTTATCTTATTTAGTTGATATATATCATATTTCAGGATCCCACCTGATGGTGGGTGTTGACTGCTCAGGTATGCTGAATTTTATATCTTAGTACTAAATCTATATACTTCTATGACTCTCACTGTGGAGATGGGATGTTTCTGCAAGACCACTGGCCACTTATCCAGTGGTGTGTATCTATCTATCTATCTATATATATATATATATATATTAATCACTCTATCATATATAAAGGACCATCACTCATGGACTTCATGAGTAAAGCAGATGGGGATTTTTGCCAATCCCTACTGACCTATAGTGGGATTTGTACAATAAAACAAACTTCATTGTCATATATACCCACTGTTTGAGAAGAGGGCTATCGTCATTATACTTTATGTTATACACTATCATAATATTCTTAAATCAAGGTGCTTCTCCTAGATTTTTTTTGCCTGCACTTGTTGATCATGACATATATTAATTATGCAAGGTGCTTCCGTTGGATGTTTTCTGCTAAGATTTACCACACTTGCTATACTCAATAACCACAAGAGGCTTCCCTTGGATGATTTTTGCCTGGGCAGACTGCAGTTGTTGATCTCTTTATACTTTTTATACAAGTTATGAAACACACAATTTTTGCAAGGTGCTTCCATTGGATGTTTTTCTACCCGAATAAACCACACTTGTCATACTACCACTTAACTCAAGGTGCTTTTCCTAGATGTTTTTTTTCCTGGGCAGACCTCACTTATTGATCTTATAAACTTATCAAGGTGCTTCCATGTTGTTTTTGCCCTTGGACCACACTTGTCATACTACCACTTATCTCAAGGTGCTTTTCCTAGATGTTTTTTTTCCTGGGCAGACCTCATTTATTGATCTTACAAACTTATCAAGGTGCTTCCATGTTGTTTTTGCCCTTGGACCACACTTGGCATAATCCATTGTATCCCAAGGTGCTTCCCCAGAATGATTTCTGCCCAGTCAGACTGACCTTGACTTAGTCATATACAGTCCTTTAGCCCTAGCCATGTATTCTTATATCAGATTACAGGCGCCTTCTTAAAATCTAACTATGATTGAGTCACATGTTCATACTCATTATATATGTGGATGTCTTATGTACTATCTGTTGTTCACGGGCAGAATCTGTCTAACACAACATGGAGACTGTCTATTAAGTTCCACTCTATGTGTCTTTGTTCATTACTGAGTGAAGAGCATACCTGTTCTAGAAGTAGTCCTTTACCCCACAGGTGTGACTCCTTTTATAATTGTGGCACACCTGTTATTTCGTGGAGGTTATTCTCTACTTGTTTGATTACTTTTGCACCTTCACTGGCCTCACCACCTTTGCAATGTGGGATTCTAACTTTGGGTGAGAGGAGGTAGTACCATTTTAGAAGTTAACATTTTCTAACACTGAAAATGTATTTCTGATAGGTACTTACCTCTTCTTCCCCTTCCTTCCCACTGATTTGTAAATGTTTCTAGTTTATATCTGCCAGTTCTTGAAAGTGAGGATTGTGCTGCAATTGTAGAGGGAGCTACTTGTGCCAGTATAGAGGGTGCAGTAAGGTGGAGAGAAGTCACATGATCAGCACACATTGCTGCAACGGTGCAAACATGAAGGGCTATAATACACTGGTGTGTTGTTGAAAATTTTAGCAACACTTAGAGGGCAAATCAAGGTCAAAATAGTTTTGGGTGAGAGGGGAGGTGCCTATTGGACAAACTTTTTCAATGTTAGAAAATTGCAAATTTGGATTTTGTATTGAATTCAGTGTGCTCTGAATGAAACTATTAGTGTTGTAAATTCCCTTAATTTTTTCTGAGCAGTGTAACATGCTCATATTTCACTAGGACTGTAATTTATTGATTTTAGCCAGTCATTCTTTCTCAACCTCAGTGTCATGGTGATTTGCACATATTATTGGTTTGAGAAGTCATAGACTAGTGATCTAAAAATGTAATAAAAACTCTTTTTTTTGTTCTTTTGAAATGTACGAGCCAATATTGTTTGCTTTGTTATTTACTTCATTTGAATTATAATGTTGTAATATGATCAAAATAGAAATGTTTCTCATGGCATAAGATGAGGGGTAGGCTTAGTTAGCTCATTTAGCACTTGATCACATCAAGTTTTGGTCTACCAACAAGACAAATGTGTTAGGCCTTGTTTGAATAAGGTGAAATCAGCCTAACTAACTTCTTGAATGAGCATGGAAAATCTAGTAAAAAAGAAATATATATATATATATATATATAAATTAATATAAAACAGATTTAAAACTTGTATATATTAGCCTAGAGTAAGAATTAAATTTTATAAATTTGTGAGTATGGTCTGAATTATTGTAAAAGGTATAGCTGTCAGGGATATAGCTATACTGAATGTTTATAGGTGTTGTGTCCATTTCATGGACATATAAAAACTTAACAAATAAATTGGAAAAAAAAATATAATTAGGGATTATTGGTTATTCATAGGATTGCTATAAGAAGTATTCAAAACAAAATAAATGCTGCAATAAAAAGTACTCAAACAAGTAAAGTGATACTAGTTTAGTATGGCTCATTATTTGTTTTTCTTTGTTATTGGCATTGTTTTGTATTTTCTACATTGTTTAAGAGGAGAAGTCACAATAATAAAGATTAAACTCAGTCATTTTTAATTTACTGTTACTTGAGCTCTAATAATATATATATATATATATATATATTTAGACGTTCTGTATTTCTAAATAAAGTATTGCTTATTTTTTTTTTTGCTTTGGATTGGATGTTACTGACATGGTTGTAAGTCTATAACAATGTGTAATGGAAAATGATCATTTGGAATTATGATACAGTATATCAATAGTCTTTATACAATGTGAAATTGAAAATTAAGTGGTTCAGTAAATGAACAACAGAGATGCAATTTATTGCAGAAGCCATAATATGAATAACACATATACATCTGCTGTGTGGTTTCTGACTGGTGCTATTCCTCTGCAATGTAAATTCAGTTTAGTTTTTACTGTGTATAACAAATCTGTTTTATGAAGTACTTATTGCTCTATTCAACTACATTTTTATGTGAATCTCTAAATCAGAACATAATTTTGTTTTGCAGGTTTGGAGTTGTTTTGCAAGGTGTATTTAAGGACACCTACCATGTAACTTTTAAAGGGAAACACAGAATGTTTGAGCGACTTCACATCTTGGAATTTGATTTCAGTAGAAAATGCATGTCTGTGATAATCAGAAATGAAGAAGGTATGTGTCATAAATAATATTCATGTTTGCACTGTTTAACAATAACTTGATGTTAAATATCAAATTGAAAATGGCTTCAAAACTTTCTCAGTAAATATTATATGTTTTGAGTTCACTGAACATAGTTCATATCTCAGTAACAATTACTATTCTTTCTATCTTTTACTTTATCATCTGTAATAAATTTGTGATTATGTTGAAAAGCAATCCAATTTTACTCAGGCTGTTAGGCATAAAACTAAATGTGTAGTGTATCTTTCAAATTGGAAAGCCACTACTGTAAATTAAAAGAAACAAATGTTAAGGAAGAAGTATATATTTCAATGATATTTTTTACTAAGTTCTGTAATTGATGATCGTATCAAATGATATGGTTTTTACCGAGTGATTTTATATTCATTATTGATACAATCTTTAATATATTAGCATAGTGGAGCATGTTGTTACTTTTGTAAATAAAATAAAGTTACAGTGTATTGAATGTAATATTTTAATCATTTTTTAATCTGTCAATTAATGTTAAAATTTTAGGTAAAATATATTTGCTGTGTAAAGGAGCAGAATCTACTGTATTGAGCAAGTGTGCTTTTGGACTTAAAGGCATAACACTTCTTCATGTGAATGATTATGCTATGGTGAGTTTGTTTATCTTCATTATACCTTTTTATTATAAATTATGTATATTTGAATTGTTTAGTATATTATTCTGTGTTTAAGTACTTTTTATTAACAATTATTTCAGGAAACATATTTGGTGAGAAGATTATTAGGAATCTATTTTATTTCAGTTGTTCATCAAAAAACTAGCATACATTACCTAAAACTGCAGAAAAAGCAGTTACTTCTATTTGTTTGACCTGATGTTTTAAGAGTATTAATATTGTTTAACATTTTAGACAGACTCCACTGATTACATAAAAATTACTTTCAAAACATACTTACCTCTGCTGCCACTTATAACTATTCCTCAACCACTAAGATTTCTTCTTTGCCCATGTAAGCATTATTAGTCTGATTTTTCCTCACTTGCTCCAGTCTTTTATACCCCTCTCAATTGTCCTTGGTGATATTTGTCTCGTGGTACTTTCCACATACATCAATGCACCCTCTATCCTGGTACTGTATAAAAGCACCTCATTCAGATAATTTTATCACTTTTTCTCGATAAAGCGCCACTAATGGGTTTCCCAGTATTACAGTCGTTTGAAGATACTATGAACGTTATCATGTTATCTAGTTGATTTCGTAATACTAATAATTAAGAAATATAATAAAATAATTTCTTTCTTTCTTTCTTCGGATTGGCAAGCCGATTATGGTATGAATTTGGGTCTCTCCTCTCTCACCTCTGATATTTAGCATCACACAACAATTTGAGGGGGGGAGCCACACTTGGTTGAGACTGTCAATGAACTGTCTTGGTAATGAGATGGAGACATATATTTGGATCTGTGGTGGTCCTTCATGGAGCTTTGAGGCTGCACTGAGGGCAATCTTCAACATTTTGGAGAGACTTTAGATTCACTTTTTCCTGTGTCCTGTTTTTAATCTGTTGGATTTTCAGCCCCTCCCTGTGAGTCATTGGTAAGTATGCAGACTCGTATTGCCGGGGTCCAGAGTTCAATTTCCTAGAGAGGACTTGGCAGATGGTCCACAGTTGCTTTGCTCTAACAAAACAACTGACTTTACCATGGTCTTTAAATGACCTATGAAAAATGAAAAGAAGGTCACTTTGAGATAAGCTGCTTTTGATTTGTTTTTCTTCAATTGGTTCTGCAAGTTTGTGATGTTTTGGCTTTTTTCCTGGTTGCTTTTGAGCCTGCAACTTGATAGCTGAAAGGTCTGGGAGCATTTTTTCTTTTTCTCTATACATGGAAATTGTGGTTCATGCTGGAAGGTTTACTTCTTAGTTACGTGAAGTACAGTTAGGCCTTCTCCAACATGTTGTCGGAACTATATGATTTCGCCTACCCCTACCAGGTGGAAGCATTTTTCCAACTCTCAAATAATATTTGCTCCTCAAATTTTGGGGTTCTAAAGAAAAGTTTGAAGTTCACCTATATAGGCCTGTGTCCCCTGATGGGACAGAGTAAGTCTACAAACTTACAATTCAACTTCAACATTTTGTTTCTTTTCACTGAGGACGAGCTGAATCCATTTTTATGATGCATGTTAGTTCAATTTTTGGCTTCTACATTTCTCCCTGTTGTTGTTGTTGGAGTCTCGAATTTCCTTGGCTCCTACAGGGGGATCATAGTTCCATCCCTATTCATAAGTACCGACTCCCAACATCAGCTCCTCGGTACATTGGTACTCAGAATAGATTCTGTCTAAATCCAAGGTTTCCAATGCTTAGTTGGATTGCCAACAGTGTCAGTGAGTATTGTATATCTTCAGGAGTTGTGGGGGCTTGGTTCCAAGAATTTCCGGATGTGTGGTAATCTTAGCCATCAGTTCAGAAGCTCTGCAAGTCCTTGGATCACAATTGGTCTTTTAGTTCACATTTTCCCCACTATTATCTACCCAACCTGTAGGATTTCCATCTCTTACAGTTCATCAGGATTTGGAACTTAGTTCTAGAGTTATCTGAGTCTGGTTGGGCTGGGAGTAGTGAGAGAGTTGGGCTAATTCCTCAGAGTTTTTATTCCTGCTAGTTGTTGGGCCTATGAAGACAGGATATTGGTGTTGATTTCTTTACTTGGATTGTAGATATCCAACTTGGTTGTAGTCAGCTCTTATCTGCACTTTGCCTTAGCGATGGAGTCCCACCACTATCAGCACTTGTGGTGCACAAGAGTCAGGTACTGCAGTTTTGGGTTTTTTTCCTCGGTCTCGTATAGGCTTAACATGGGTTCTGCTGTATCTTACAAATTTTCTCGTCCCTTCATTCCATGGTACTGTGCACACACCATTCCATGGACGACTGGTTACTGCTGGCAATATCTTGTCAATTGTTAGGCCATTATATCCTGCTTCTACTTTCAGACACAACCCAAGCAGGCTTTTCTTTCGGGACTGCGAAATCTATTCTTGTTCCAGTTCAATATGTCATCAGTCCGGGTATTTTTTTATATTTCATCTTACTTCTCAGTCAGGCTCAGCTGTCTCCCATTCTACTGAACACTATAGAATAGGATGACATGCTCTTACTCACATCTCTTTCTCTTCTGGGAATGGGGGCATCACTCAAATCCTTCGTGCCTTTAGGATGAGAACACAAGTAATCCTTTTATTGGTCTTTAAGTAACCAGGGATTGTACATATCTATTTCATAGTTTCCCCCAATTTCCTTAGTTAGAATCATTCTTGGATCTCGAGGGGTTAAGTAGGGAAGCTGCTACAAATTAGGTTTCTCTACTGCCACCTAATCGAAAGTTTCATTCTTTCCATGAATCCTTTGCTTCAGGGATGAGTTACATATATCAACAGTCTGGAATTCCAGAGTATGCATGGATGATGAAAATTCCCTACACAGTGCTCCTATTGATTGCACTAGATTGGTGGCTACACCTGGGTTTCTGCTTTTGCAGTCCCTTCTGGTGTGTTCAACTCTTCTACTTCTTAGGCTCTCTCTTTGGAGGTAGCCATGATCAGATATGGTGCACCCAGAAATCCAGAAGCTCAAGCTTCTGGCATAGAGGTTATGCTGCCTTTCACATGGCATTGGGGTTTAATTTCCAAGGTTGACCTGTATCTGGCTCAGTTTTTCCTATTCTGAAAGTCACTTTTCTATATTGAGAGGAGGTTGAACCCTTTTCAATCAGTGGTGTCAAACATAACTCGTTTTTTGACTTGGCTCTTTGACAGAAGTTTTTGCATCTTCCTCAATCACTATTGTTTTGAGTGGCCTTATTGACTACCATTTGATTATCGAAACTACATACTTTTGAGTCCCCAGTATTCCCCAAATTTCTCACATTGTTTTGGGTAATTGGTTCCAAATGGCCATTTCAGTTACCTAACAGGTAGTTTCAAGTTACGTGTTCTCTCTCTACACCTGTTTGTGACCAGACTCTTATATGCCACGAATCCTCTTGACCTGCAGGTTTATTTTTTTGTGGCTGCTGACCTATGGATATCACCAGTCGGAGTGATTTGTGCTGTTTGTCCACAGACCACTTTCTCATTCTCTCTATGTCCTCAGATCAGTTCTTCATACCCAATACACTGTCAGACAGGAAAGGGGTTTAATCCTTTTATGTGATTCATCTTGGTCATGTTCAGTAAGGGTTTTGAAGGTTTTGTTGCCCACATTTATAGCTTTATTCTAGGCTCTCTTTGAAGGTGTGGTATCTTTTGTGTGTTACATCCAATCAGATTTCTCTTTTCTATGTCCTTAGCAGCCTGGTCGATTTCTTGCTGGAAGTCACTATGCAGACTGGTATGTGGAACTCCCCCAACCCCAATATCTTTATCTCACATTATTTGCCTGATCTGATAGTCTCTTCATCTGAGGGTTTTTTGCCTACCCCTTGTAGCTATCTTAACTATTTCTGCTAAATTATCCAGAGGGGTGAGTATTTTTATTTCTACCTTTCAGGTTCTATTACCTTGTTTTCACAAGATCCTGCTGTGTGGTGAGTGTTGCCCAGACAGGTGTACTTTTATCAAACCAATTCTGCACTAGCAACCACTATTTCACTATTATTACCATCAGTTGCAACAGGATCTGTAGAAATGAGGTGTTCCTTAAGACCATCTAGGAGCTCACCAGGTGATATTACTCGTGGACTATCATGAGTAAAGCTAAAGGGTATCCTGTCTATCCCTACCAATCATTGGATTGAGTAAATCAGGGTCAGTTTGCTTTCACAAACTTAGAGAACTTGGTTCAGCTATTGCACTGTTTCCAGATCACTGTTCCTCAGAACTCCCCAATGTGCATTATCTCCCAAGTTCTACTAATGTAGTTAGGGAGTTTTTACCACTCCCAGTTTTCAGTCACTGTGGTGGTGGTCAAAGGCTTTTCCTCCAGATTGTTAGAGTGAATTCCTTCACTCTTGGAGAAGAGGGCAAAGTTGGGGGCCCTCCTATCTCGGTCCCTCATGTTTTTTTCCCAGATGTCAGTAGGAGCTGCAGCAGCCTACATGGGAGCCTACTCGTAATACTGGTTAAGATTTGATGCTTGACTAATCAGTTGGGTTGTGCATGGCCCTTCTTTTTGATCAATATCAGTTCAGTATATTGTTCATGGAAGGAGGTCTACTATCTCCTCGTAATTATAAACATGGAATGGTCCCATCCTGGGTCCTTGGTTGAGCACATTTGTTCGATGTCCTCCCCATAATTCCGGGAGGCAAGTGGAAGGCTCTTTGCCCAATTGGTTGGGGAGTGAGGATGTATGTTCTTAATTCCCAGATGAGTTCTGTTCCTTTGAATGAGTAAAGCATACATGATCCTATCATTTCAAGCATAGGGTGTTGCCTTTTGGGCTTCTTCAGGTAGAGGAGAAGGTTTGTTTGCTTAAGTGTTGCTTACCTTCTCGTCGTAATTCTAGTCATTCAGAACATATCACTCTATGGCTACAGGTTGGGATCTAATCAAAAGTATATCTGTATATAACATTGCAGTTCAGTTGTCCTAGCCACAAACATGGGATATAGGAACAAAGATTCCTTAATTCCAACCCAGAGTAGCAGAACATCAGTTATTTGGTTGGGGCTGGCTCATAGTGATTATTACTCCTGTACGATTCCACCCTTTATGCAGGAACTAATTTCAGGGTGAAGAGCATACCTGTTCTGGATATAGTGCAGCTCCGCCACTTGGGTACCACTGTTATCTTGGTACACCCATGATCTATGTATGGATAATGCCATCACTGGCCCCTCTACCTTCTCAATATGGTATTCTAGCTATAAGTGGAAGTGGAGGTAAGTGTATTTTGGAAGTTAACATTTTCCTAAATTTAAAATGTATTTCTAATAATACTTACCTCAGATCTATCTAAAATTACACCTTTCTAAAAATGTTAAATAGATGGGAAATGATTGGTCTATAATGTAGTTTGTATAACCATCACCAAATTTCTTAAATTAAAAACCAATTTGAATGTCATACCCCTTGTAAATGGGCACCCCTATTCTGTTAGATTTTTCTGAACGCTGCTCATATTTTTAAGTATCTTCAAGAGAAAGAAGGCATCATCAGGCTTTGCCTAACTTTTTTCTATTTGTTTAGTTGGTTAAGTATCTACCATACCTTTGAAATACTTCTAATTGTATACTGTAATTATACACAAAATGTGTTCTTTTGACATTCAGTGAAGTCTAAAAATGGGTAAATGAATTGAAACTGACTGTGGCCTTTTTATTTTTATCGTGTTTCTTGTGGTTATAGGAGGGATTGCGAACATTGGTAGTTGCTTACAGGGAACTGTCAGAAGAAGAATTTCAAAGTTTTGACATGAAATATAAAATGGCAAGAACTGAAATGGTGGCCAGAGAAGAAGAGGTAAGATTTTTTTAAAGATTTGTATGTTTTTGAGCTTCCTTTATTATGTCTCTGCAGAGACACATGCTGTTTATCTATTGTTTCTTTTTCTTTCATTCTTTCTTCTTCCAAACACTTTTCAATCAACTTCCATTCCTTCATTTCTTGGTGGATTGATATCAAACTTGGTAGAATTATACCTTGGTCCAATATGCCCAGATACCTTTTTCATTTTTTCAGTTTAAACCTTTCTAAGGATTTTATGGGGTCAAAAGTCAAACAACCACAAAATATATATATATTATGGATTCCTGTGCAGTCATATTTACAGCAACTGAAATGAAAATTGGCAAAAAAATAAATTTTCATGCACCCAGCACATTGATGTACAAAAAGTTGTTTTTGCCTATTTTGAGTTTTTTTTTTAGGGGAGTCATAGCTCACTAAAAATAATAGTTTTGGGGTTTTTCATCAATTATTTTACATATTTTAACCAATTTACATGGGGATTAGTACAAAGACACTTTTCTATAGGTCCCACACATTGACAAACAAAATTGGTTGACTTGCCCATTTTTAGTAATCATAGAAGGGTCAAGATGCCAGAAGAAGCATAATTTTAGGGTTTTTCACAATTACCCCACCATAATTTGGCGAATTTCCATGGAATTTGGTACAAAGATACTTTTTTACAGGTCCCATATATATATATACCTACAAAAATGTGGGATATGCCCATTTTTGGTCATTTTAGGGGGGTCAAAAGGTTAAATGAACTCATAGCTTCAGGGATTTTGATCAATTACTTAGCCATATTCTGACCAATTTATGTGGGATTTACTACAAGGATACTCTTTGCAAGTCACAAACAGAGATATCGATAATTTTGGTCTTTTACTAAATTTTTCACAGAGGAGAGGTCAATTTGGGGTTTTCATGAACTATTCTTGTGTATGTCAACCAAATCACATGGGATTTGGTACAAAGATACCTTTTTGCAGGTCCCAAGCAGTGCATATAAACAGTTTTAGATTTTTCTGTGTTTTTTCATGATTTTTGTGGTGTCAAAATTGGTCATGTTGGGATTGCATGGGGGTGACATGTTGCATTCACATGCAAATGTTGGCTTCATTAATGCTACAAGTGTAAGTTTGTCTGAATTAATTTTTTTACATGAAACATTATCACCAACACAGTGCAGGTAGTGCTACATGTTTGCCCATCTTTTAGTGCTCACTTACAGATAATCTAGAAGATCTACATTCTGAACTTAAATGTTGTAAAATGCCAAAAAATGTTCTTTTTGACGATTTAAGTATGTTTCTTTATTTTGTTGAATCATAACTTTTCTATATAAATAATATACTGTTATGTATCTGGTCGTTTGTTAATTTCCAGTATAAATTCTTCCAGAGGAACTTCAGCGATACAAGTCCATTCTTTAAATAAAACTAGTTTATTCTTTCTCAAGACAACTTTGCAATACACAGAATTTCCACAGTCATTTTAACTTAAACACACGCTATAATTCACAATGATTCACGCACTTTACTTACGGTCACAACT